CCACCCCCGGGGCCAGCCGGTTCCAGTGCTCGACAAACCTTTCAGTAAAGAAATTTTTCCTAATATCCACTCTAAGCCTCCCTTGGTGCAACTTGAAGCCATTTGGTCTTGTCCTATCACTTGTTACTTGGAAGAAGGGACCGACCCCCACCTCGTTACAACCTCTTTTCAGGTAGTTGAAGAAAGCAATGATGTCTCCCCTCAGTCTCCTTTTCTCCAGACTGAATCCCAACCCCCTCAGCCGCTCCTCATAAGACTTGTTCTCCAGACTCTTCACCAGCTTCATTGCCCTTCTCTGGACATGCTCCAGTGCCTCAATGTCCTTCTTGTAGTGAAGAACCCAAAACTGAACAAAGTATTTGAGGTGCAGCCTCACCAGTGCAGAGTACAGGGGCAGGGTCACTTCCCTACTCCTGCTGACCACACTATTCCTGATACATCCCAGGATGTTGTTGGCCTTCTTGGCCACCTGAGCACATTGCTGGCTCATGTTCAGTCGGCTGTTGACCAATGTCCCCAGGTCCTTTTCTGCCTGGCAGCTTTCCAGCCACTCTTCCCCAAGCCTGTAGCGCTGCATGGGGTTGTTTTGACCCAAGTGCAGGACCTGGCACTTGGCCTTGTTGAACCTCATGACTTGTCCCATCAATGCAGCCTATCCAGGTTCCTCTGCAGAGCCTTCCTAACTCCAAGCAGATCAACACTCCCATGCAACTTGGTGCTGTCTGCAAATTTACTGAGGGAGCATTCAATCCCCTCATCCAGATCGTTGACAAAGATATTTACACATAGATACATACATAAACATGCAAATAGGACATGAACAAGGTTAGAGATATGAGATGGTGGGGAGAGAAAAGAGGAAGCTGTATTGACTCTAGTTTAGCTAGCAAAATCTCTAATGAAAAGTTGCAGCTCATCTTCCTCATCCCTTTTTCTTTTCTAAGCCATTTCCTCTAGTTGATTTTCAACCCTTTCTTCAATTTTCCGTTCAGTCCTGCAGATAGCGGCTGTCTTTTTCCTTTTGACATGTTCCACTCCTGCCCCCCATCTAAATATGTTGTATAATCCTACAGACATAAAGGCAACCTTTTGTGCAGTCTCTTCTCTTACACCTTGCTCCTTTTCTTGCCCTTTTTTTCGTTAGCACTTGTCCTGTCTCACAAACAAGGCTGCTTGTTGCCTTTGTTGCTGAAGCAGTTCCTGCTCGCAAGCTCAGCTACCTACCTGAGCTGGATGCCTGCACATTAGGGGTTTAGAGAAGCCTTTTTAAAATTTCTTTTTAGTTCTAACAAAACACAGGTTTCTTCTGAGTATCGCCAGGAGAGAGCTGCAGGGGGAGGCTCTCTGTGTCGGTGCCCCAGAGGAAAACCTGGGATCTCTGCCCACACTCTGCAGGCAAGAGAAATACAGGAGGAAAAATGACTTTGTTCTGCTTGTACACAACAACAGGACAGTACGTAAATGGTAGGGAAGTGTGGTGTGGTTTTTTCCCCTGAATTCAGCCCAACAAAATTACTCATCTGGCCTGCACCATCATTCCTAGAAACCTTTTGAGTGAATTGACCTGGCAAGCCCACAGCCTGATTCCAGCACCTTTTTTCTTGAGTGCCCCACGGCCCTGCCCAGTGCCTGGATATGTGTCTGCCCTGTGATGGGGCACCGGGGGACAGATGGCAGTCACACGATGAGCTAATTTGTGTTTCTCAGTGCTACATTGCTATGTATGTAATGTAGATATACTTGGTAAGATTGAAGTGGAAAAATCAAAATCCACCATCTCTTCAGAGAAGTTGAACCAAGCCTCAATATTACCACAGCTAAAAACATTTATTTATACAAACCTTTATAAAGTGACTGAGCACAAGGTCATGGATTAAACAAGGTGTATCTCTGCATTTATTTCTGGAAGCAATGCATTGAAGGCCAGGAGGTTGTTCAACTAGCAAAACCAAGTCTTGTAGAAGAGATGACTTTGACATACGTCCTGCAGTTTGCAAGTGGCAAGACCTGAGCTATGCCTAGTGGCAAATGGTAATACAAGTCCACACCAGTTTCAGACCCTGCTTGCTGTAATTAACTGGCAAGGTTTTCCTCACTTGTCATGGCACAGAACCAGCCTTTGAGACCGGCTGAGCAGTAGGCAGGGATAGCGGGGCCACAATCTCCCTTTAGATTTGACTGACTTCTCTGGCCAGACGAACCAGCGGCAACGCGTGGGGACGGCTGCCGGGCACGGTGCTGACGCCGTGACCTATGCCGCCTCACTCGCACCTTGCAAAACGTCTCAGCTTACAGCGAGTGGGTGCCAGAACGGGGGCGGAGCCATTCTGCGGGACGGGCTCTGCTTCAGCTGCCCGGGGGCCGCCCCGGAGCACCCGAACAAGCGGCACCAGCAGCCGCGGCCGGCCCCACCACGTCCCCTCAGCGCCCTCCGCTGCCCAACGACCGAACCACGAGCGCAAGCAACTCCCCAGCTGCTACGGGCGGGATCGAGCAAGATGATTGGTAGAGAGTTCTGAAGAGGCCTTTCATTGGCTGCCGGATTATCAGTGACTTCGCCCCGTTTCTCTCCACTCCCGACGGCGAGACGGAGCTGTCAGAGATGTTTACAACCGACGAAAGCTGTGCGGGTTGTCCCCGCCTCCCAGCAGCCCTCATTGGCCGAATAGAGAAGACATCGCAAGTCCATTGGCTGACAGCGGACAGGCTAATTTCCCACTCGCAAGGTTGTTCCCCCGGCGTGCCCTCATTGGTGAAGGAGGGCGGGCAGAACTGTTCGGATTGGCGGAGAGCAGAAGCGGCCCGCCCCTTTCGTCGCGGGGTCAAGAAGTGTAGGGGTTGACGGTGTTTGCGGCACCCGGTAGTCGGTGGCGGTCGGTACGAGATGGCCGGGCTGCTGCTCCTTTGCGCGGCGGCACTGCTGCTGGCGGCCGGGGAGGGCATTCCGCCGGCGGAGGGGGCG